CCATCACAACGATTATCTCGATTATTTTATAATGTGATTGGATGATTAGCTCATGATCGGCAATGCACCACGTGCTATCACGTGATGATTCATTTTTGGTGGCGTGCGTGCGTACATTCGAATTTTTATGTATAATCTGCTATAAATAATATTTAAGTAATGAGGCTTCTTCGCCGACTTTATAACAGTGAGTCAGTGAGTGAGTAACTTTAACCGTTCTTATGTATATAGTCAGTATACATTCAGTATACATTTAGTATATATGATTATAAATGGCAGAACTACACTAACAAACTACCAAGTTGTAGAGTTTCTTTGGATAACTTTAAAATACGCTTGGTATTATAAAGTATTAGTTGAAATTAGTTAATTTATTTCTGTACAAAAAAAAAATGAATGAATTCTAATGTATACATATATTTATATTACATATATTGGTTATGCAAGATTTTAGCACCCCCAACAATAAATAAATTCCAAGAATGCAGCACCACTAGGTTCATCGTTTGTATTCTCTCTTGCACGACTAGCATATATCATATTTATGAATAATGCCATGAATATTAATGTGCCAATTATAGCGATTACAAAAAAATTAACCTTTCCATTCTCAACAACAGCAATTTTCTTTTTTAACATTATTTGAAATTGAAAGTAATTTACAACGGCCCATATAAGAACAAATACACCAGAGAATATAAGTAAGATGCCTATTGGATGTGGATCTTCATAAAATGGTGTAGTAGATTGAGGAATTAATTGTAAACGAGAGTAAATTGAAAAACCTGTTAGCATTAGGGCCGCGCTTGCACGTAACCATGATAAAAAGGTTCTTTCAAGTGCTATCAAAAATTTAAAAATTATATGTAAAGGATTAATATTTTTTGTTTTTATGGAATAATTAATAAAATTATAAAAATCATTTTACATGAAATATATACGAACCGAAGTTGTCACGCGCAGTACTTCCGTCGTTATTTACAACCAAAGCAGCAGAACAAGATTCTAAAATGGAGCAATTCGATGTGAAAGCTATAGAATTTTGTTTACCACACTCGAGTTGACTGACACATAAAGATTGTTGTTTCAAGGCATTTTCTTCAGTCACATGTTTTGTGAAAGTTTGTTCTGAGATGGTACCATATTTACGAGAGATGATATTATTATGTAGTAAGGAGTCAGTGTCTTTTTGAATAGAACTTTTATCTTTAGTTGTCATATTCTTAAATATTGAATGTTGAGTGTTTTATTTTTTGAGAGAGAGAGAATTGATTCAATTTAATAAAGAAAAAAAGAATGCGTAAAAAGAACACGGAACAAAAGCTACGTGCAAAACGTACATAAGGATTTATTCGGAATTTTCTATATTTATTATCTGCAACTCTGCGGATCAAGGAGAACTTTCGTTTAAATATTGTGTGACAGATCACACCAATTATATGCAATAGTATATTATTTTGTGCCGACACTTTTTTTTATATAGGCTAGTCAATTTAATCAAATACGTAAAAGATTAAATGTTGGCACACAAAGTTATATCATAAAAGTAATTGATAGATAGATGTATTTTCATATTTTCATGTGTAATATTTTAAATCAAAAAGTCAAATTTTATACGCGAAGTGAATAAGAGAGAAAGATGGAATTTCAGTTTACAAGGCAACAAAAACATCTATCTACATATCAAATGGTCAGTGACAAACAATCATGCACGATAAAATGTTACAAATCTTTGTTTCCTGCAATATGTATGAGTTGATAAGTGCATGCATATTGTGACCAAAAAGAAAGATTACACTTACTATTATCTATATTAAATATGTAAAAGATGACGAGATTCTCAACTTATTTGGAATAAATATTTTTCTCAACAAGAGTAAACAAAAATTACTTGGTCAAATATTTAATAAACATGTTGTGTTTCTAATCTCTCTAATTTAAGTTATATGTAATGCCTAACGATAATTTAAGCCTCTGCTTTCTTAGTAACTCATTCCCCACATGTTATCGTTATTAGATGACGTGAAAATTTTTATTATAGGTATTGATTTTCAAACATGCACTATGACAATTTTAAAGTAAGAAATTTAGTAACTATAATAATATATATTAAATGTTTGTAATAATTTATAAAAAAGGCAAGTTAAAAATTATTTTTTCAACGTGACTTTGTTGCTGACTTTGTTGTTACCTACCTATAAGTGCCTAGAAGTGCCTAGAAGCCGAATTTATTTTCCACTTCTTAAACTTAATTTTAACCGGTTTTAATAATCGGGTTTAAAAAAATAAAGTATATTGTACTTGTGTATGCTTCGTACTTGCGTATGCTTCGTACTTACTGTGATAATTATCTTCAGTACTGATAGAAAGCAGTGAATTTGGTTTATTAATTGTGAATTATAAACTAGACACTATATGGTGACGAAACTATCTATTTATAGTTAAGTTTACTGTTCGCTCAATGTTATCTTGTTAACATTTGAAGTAACCCGATGATAAAAGTTGAATATAGTAGCAATAAATTCGGTGCCTAAATTTAGTAAGAATCATGAAGGGCTGCCTGCATCAAAGAACAATACTATTGTTCAATTGAAAAGTTATTTTTTTCATATGTGATTGTAGTGTAGAATTTCTTTGAACTTTGACACTTCTAGTATATACTAACTGTTGTTGAACAACGTGGAAATATGACACGAATGAATCACGTGATACTAGATGCATTGAACATCACGCCTAAAATAATTTGGCATACCATATATCATGCCAATTAGCGAATAGCATGCCAGGATGTCATGCCATTTAGCATGCCAGGATGTCACCTTGATATATTATTAAAATTTGTTTAGCTAATTAGATTACGTGATATAATTTTATAATAAAGGCATACCATAATAAAATTTAAACACTTTGGTATGCCAATAGTGCTACGTAGTGATGGGACCTCTTAAATTATTAATAATTAATAATAAATTATTAACATTTGGCCGAGTTATTAACTAAAAACTACTTAATAATGTATGTCTTAGTGAATTGATTTAAAACTATATAAAAACATTATAATAACTAAAAGTCAATTTATCTACATGTTGAAAAGCTTGATTTCATTACGATTTTTTTGTATACAATTGTTTAATATGCAGTTTTTAGTTATTAATGTTTTTATTATTAACTAAAAACTCGAAGGTCCCATCACTAGTGCTACGTACTAATTGATCATCTGAATTTAGTATACGTATAGGTGATCAATAAAGTAAGTTATTAAGCTAAAAATCAGTTCTAATCAATAGAAACAACAATTGAATCGTACGATAATGAACGTATGTATGTACATGTATGATTATCTAGAAATAATTAGAACCGATTAGCTTGACTTAAGTAATATAGACATAATCCTTTAAATCTCCTTGTACGTACTGTACATAAAAATTTTCCTGCAAATTATCTGTGATTGATCTATTTGAACTATGGGCGCTTTCAAGCAACAAATTCGAGCCTTCTCCTGAGCAGATACCTATTATCTAATCATTGTTAGTAGCGCATCTCATGGACAATTATAATATGCAGGGAAATAATTGAAGACAATTACGTAAATATGTATATAACTGATTCACTACAAAATCTGCTCAGGAGAAGAACCGAATTTTTGCTTGAAAGCGCCCTAAGTTTCACAATGATAGTGGGACATTTAAGGGATAACGATATGTTTAGATAACCATACTATACTCTTACTTGAATTAGTTAGTTTATAAGTTAAACTTTATCTTTTTTAGATTTCTGTCATTTGAGCATAAATTCGCTGAAACATTTCTCATCAGTGATAGATATTCATCCTGCTTTTTCTATAAAGCTTTTCATGTGATCGGGCATAATAATATATGCGAATCATTATAAAAAAAATGTGAAAAGTATGTTTTCCCAGCTAGTGTGTCCAGGATTATGTGATTGTATAATATGTGTCACCCGAAACAATGGTAGGCTTACATGTGACTAGAGATGCTGGTGAAATTAATTTCACCAAATTTCATCAATTTAACCACTCTAATTGAATTTTACCATGCATCTTTACATGTGACTTCGGATATTGATTACCGGGTAAAATATGAGTTTTAATTACGTATACGTAACAATACGCATCGGGTATCAATAAAGATAGAATTAAATTAACTTTTATGCACATAACTATCGATCACTATACATGAAGCCTATCTTAAGTTCATAAAAGATTAAAATAAACTAGCGTACGTAGATTATTTTTAATAACCATATTTTAATTTAAATTAAATTAACGTTAACAAGTTTAAATATCAGATATTCACGAACATGAATTTTAAATTATTAGTTAAAAAATTTTAATACTTGACTAACTAAACACGAATAAAAAAAAATATGAATAACATTATGTAATTATAGTTATTTTAAACATTAAAAGTTCTTTTATACTTACTAACTAAATAAATAAGAGGCAGAATGTGAACTTAAATAGTTTAGTAAAGTAATCGATTAAAATCTTTCTTTATAATTAACTAAAATTAGCACAAATAGAAAAAATTAGATAAATACAGTGTTCAAAAATTGATTCTTAATGAAGAATAGAAAAAAAAAACTTATATATTTTTCTGTGCTTTGAATCTCTGAATTTTTTATTTCATAAATTCTGACTGAATTATTGCAATTTAAAATAAACGATTAGTCAATCTTCAAATCTAGAATCGACTCTCATAACTTTTGGCTTTGGAAAAAAATAGTAGCATTATGTAATTATAGTTATTTTAAATGATCTATTAAAAGTTTTTTTCATACTCGCCAGCTAATTAACATGAATAAACGAGAGGCAAAATTTTACGATAAATATTTAAATTTATTGGTTAAAAAAAAATCGTTATACTTAATTAACATGAATAAACAAATTAGTGAACAGCATTAGATAATAATGTTTATTTTTAAATGTAAAATATTTTTGTACTCACTACTAAATTAATGTGAATAAATGTACGTAGCTTATTTTAACATATTGCTTAAAAAGGTCTTTATATTTAATCCGATACGTATAAATAAAACAAAAATTATATAAGCAGTTAGATTATGTAATTATAGTTATATTTTTTTTAAAAAAAGCATTTATGCTCACCAGCTCAATTAATACGAACAGGTATATATTCACTGACTAAATTATTGATCATTTGGGTGATCATCACTTCTCGACTGTGACGAAAATAGCGTTTTTACTACATCAAAAAGTCCTTTAAGATTGAGTTTTAATCAATTATTTTAGATTTGTCAGGGCTTATTCACTTGACACATGATTGTAATTGTGGCGCAGTAAAATATTTCCATTACAATTATAAAGCAAGGACTAGCTTTAGGTCCTTGGTGTTTTAACATTTTGTTTAATATTTTTTGTTGGACCTGCTACTTTTTTATCAGATGCTTCTTTAATCATCGATTCTAATTCAGTTAGTGTAATTGTTGAAGTAACTGTATTGTATCATTTAAGTTGTATTGTATTTATTAGTTTGTATTCTGTTATTTATATTATTATAGATCTGTTTGGATTGGGTTAAGTTTAGTTCAATTTATGCAATATTCTTGGATTGCATCTTTAATCTTGTCGAGTTCAGTAATAATATCATTATTAGTTTGAAAATTATAAAAAATTACTAGGTTAGTATTTTTTTAAGATATTTATTATCATTATTTTTAAAATTTTGGTATCTATATAGATATAATTCTTTTTTTTTAAATTAAAGTTCTTGTTTTTGAAGTGCAATGTTTTTATTTAAGTTTATAAAGCATGAATGCTTTCAGAAGTTTTCTTATCTAGAGGGTTACAATTAGTTACATGTACATTTTTGATGTTTAATTTAAGTAGTTTGTTTATATATTATTATACAGATTTTATATTAGATGTTATATCTGTAAGTCAACTATAAATCTTGCTTATTTAAATTCTCTATATATGCAATCCATCTTGTATTATAAGAACATCTTCAAGATTATATTTATTTAAAATATTTGATACATAATATTATCTTTAAATCTACTTTATTTTTATTTTTATTTTTTTCTTAAACAGTTATGTTAATATTTTATTTTTTTTTATTTTTTGAACTTTAGCAACACTGTTAGTTTGTTTATTAAATTCTAAACTTGATATACATAGTACAATTTGAAGTTATATTTTATAAAATCATTACTAGCATTATATTAGCTATTCTGATC